TACACTTTTCACGTAACATTGGTATCTTTTCAAAGCATTGAAATAAAACTAAATTCGATAATTGATGAATAAATAATTTAAATTGTTACACTAATTGTTAGACACTAAAAACTATTTAACTAGAAATAAAAGTATTTTTTTTTTTAATTTTCTATTTTTTTCGTTTGCTGTATATCTGTTTGCGTTTCTTTTTTCCTGTTTTGTGTTCCGAACCTTTCTCTAGAATAAAGTATCTACGTGTGACTCAATTACTGCCACACGAAGAAGAATCCTTTCCGTCAGTGTTTTTCCCTATGCATCACCATGAAAAAGCTTTTGGAACGGAGCTTTTTTTCCTCTCTGTGTGTGCATGTGTATCGAAAGTAATGTCAAATATTGACACAATTCATATGGACCAACTGTTGATTTGTCCTGTTGAGGAGGACAAACATGCCATTGAAGAGAAAGTGAAAATACGACCTCTCTACCTCTCCATTTGGTCGGAGAAAGTAAAAGTTAATATCCAAAATAAAGTAAAAAACAGGGAAGGAATCCCCACAAATGAAAAATATGAAATTTGTTAATGTAAAAATTCAATGTTATTTATACGATTCTGAAAACTACGATGTTTGTTGAAAATAAAAATATATGATTTTTTCATTTTTATCTGGAGGTACCGTTATATGGCAGCTACTCCAAAACGTGTACAGACATTGAAAATACACTTTGATACCCAATATAAGCTCCAAATATTTATATTTTAGTTGGAATATTTGATACCTTATAATAACTTTAAATATTACAACAATTTCGATTGAAAAACAGACCCAAAATACTGAATATTGGGTGGTATCGTTATACAACCCTAACCACTGAAGATTCGTACCCCATGTTAAAGTAATAAAATTTTAGTTTCAAATCTTTTTAAATGCCACAAAAATGGTTCAAATTGAACCAAATGACCTTTATTTGAAAGATAATTTTATTGGGTTTTAAAATGTGTAAAACAACTTATTTTGCAAAAATAAAAAGAATAGTAATTTTTATTTTTTCCCAGTTATTTGGCGTTAATTTCTTAACCGCCGTTTCATTATAGCCCATGCATTTTTAATTGGATTTTTGAAGACACTTCCCCTTGAAATTGGGTTTATAAAGACCAACAAGTCTGCAGAGAGACCACAGGTCTATATAAAGACCAATTGGTCTGTATAGATGCCGATTGAAAGTGTGCAGAATCCTCAGGTCTTCAGAGATATCACTGCCCTGCATAAAAACTATAGGTGTGTATAAATACCAATTCGTATATATAGAACACGGGAGTTTATATAGTCGAATTGGTCTGTACAGAGACCACAGGCCTTAATACAAACCAATTGGTATGTAAACAGACCGATTGGAAGTGTACATATATCACAGGTCTGCTGAGAGATCATAGGTCTGTATGGGGAAAACAGGGTTTTATCTTAACATATAAAAGTGCTTTGTATTAAGTGAGTGAGTGACTGACAGATCATCGCCCAGACGAAACAGCTGAAGCTAGAAGCTTGAAATTGTGAGTGTGGGTTGTTGTTGGTGCGTAGGTGTGAGATAGGGCTGGGGTTTTGGAAATTCGAACTAGAAGGGTACGAAAAGTACTAACATGTAACGTATTAGGCGAACGGGAAGAGCTAGAATTCTGAAATTTGGAATGTTGGACACTGATGGAAAGTTAGAAAGAAGTACAAAAGGGTATTTGGAAGTTCGACTTATAAGTGTACCAAAAGTACAAAACATTACTAAATTTAGTTCTAATTGTATATATTGAACATATATAGCTAGAATCTTGAAATTGTATTGGGAATTGGGATTACTTTTGGTACTAAATTTGGTGCAAGTTGGATTTATGTGAACAGTTAGAGCTGGAGTCTTCAAATTGAGAATTAAAATAACTGTTGGTCTGTAGGATTGAGGTAGTTTAGGAAATTCATACTTTTTGGTACGAAAAGTACTATATGGTACCAAATTTAGTACAATGTGCATTTTGCTTGAAAGATTTTTGCTTAAGATTATTGTTGAAGATTGAGCTAAAGATACGTCTTTGGAAATTCATATTTCTTCGTACTAAAAGTACTAAACGGCACTAGATTTGGTACAATTAGGATTCGGGTGAACGGAGAGAGCTGGAAACCTAAAATTTGGAATAATGGTTGCTGTTGGAATATAGAATTGAGATATGGAAGCATAGTACTTATGTGTACTATATGGTACTACATTTGGTACAACTTGATTATGTTTGAATGGATAGAGCTGGACTCCAGAATTTTGGAATTAAAATTACTGTTGCAGTGTAGGATTGACGTAGTTTAGAAAATTCTTAATTATAAAAACAAAAAGTACTAAATGGTACCAAATAGTTAAAAAATTGTTTTTGGGTAAACGGATAGGGCTGAGATTCTGAAATTTTTAACTAATATTGCAGTTGGAGTGCAATATTGAGATATGTCGAAAGTTTTGAAAATTCGTCCTTATGTGTAATAAATAGTACTTAATTTGGATTTGAGTGAACGGATAGAGATTGAAAACTTACATTTGGAAAGAAAATTACGGGATTAAGGTTGTATTGGAATTTCGTACTTATACATACGAGAAGCACTAAATGTTACAAAATATGGTGCAATTCGTTTTGTGTGACCGGGAATCCTAAAAATTGGAATTAAAATTAAGGTTGGAGTGTAGGATGAGACATGGAGTTTTGAAAATGCGCAATTATGTGCACTAAATTGTATTATGTTTAGTACAATTCAGATTTGAATGAAAGGATAGGGATGGAAAAGTTAGATTTGAAAATAAAATTACTGTTAGATTACAGGATTGAGACAGTGTTCGAAATTCGAACACATAAGGACGAATATTTCAAAATACGAAATGCACAAAATTTGGTACAATTTGTACTTTGGTGAACGGGTAGAACTGGAATCCTGAAAGTTGCAACTTAGGCTACTGTGGGAGTGTAGGATTGATATAGGTTTGGAATATAAATACGAAAAGTACAGAATGATACCAAATCTGGTACAATTTGGTTTTTGGTGGACAGACATAGCTGGAATTCTTAAATTTGGACTTACGATTACTATTTGAAATCAGGATTGAGGTACTTTGGAAATTTGTATTTATAAGTACGAAAAGTACTAAATTTCATACAATTTGGACTTTGGTGGAATTAAAATTTCTGTTAGGGTGTAGGATTGATGTAGTTTTAGAATTTTTTACTTATGAGTATTAAAAGTACTAAATGGTACTAAATTTGGAACAATTTGGATTTGGTTGAATCTTGAGAATTGGAATTTAGATGACTCTTGAAGTGTAGTATTGAGCTATGGAGACAACTTTGTAAAAAACGAATTTATGTGTACGAATAGTAAATAGAATAAAAAATGCAATAAATTTGGATAACGGAGGGAGCTGGAAACCTAAAATTTGGAATGTGGGTCACTTAGGGAGAGTAAGAAGGAAGTACCAATGGGTTTTTGGTATTAAATTTAATGGTGGTGGTGTAACGGGGGTAGTATTGAAAATGTGTACATATGTGTTCAAAAAGTGCTAAATGGATCTAAATGTGGAACCTGTACGTAAATATATATATTTGGAATTCTGATCTATTTTAAATCCATGTAATGGAAATATGAAAGAGATTTCGGAAAATAGTGCTTATGTGTATGAAGGTACTCTTCATACACATACATTATGTTCCCGTACTGCAAGAATCTACGAGTTTTTACTATTTTTTTCGATAACATAAAGGAAAAAGTGTTATCGTAGTAAAAAATAGTAGATTCTTGTAGTACGGGAACAGACCAATAATGGTAATAACGTGATATTTGATGTAGGAATAGAGTTGAAACTCAGAACTATAGTACAACAAATTATGCAGTATTCACGACTTCCATATGAAATATTTTTATTATTTTTATTCCCTTTCCGCAAACGAAGTAACGTGCACTTTACTAGTGACAAAATAAATGAAAACAAATACAACAATTTGTTTTGTTCATTTTATATATTTTTAACATTTTACCAAAAAAGCGAAAAATGAATGTGATTTAAGGTTTCTTTCGGAACACCTCTTGTATGTATAGTATAATATATTCGACTCCGTCCGACTTTCGCCCTATCAGTACCGTTTATAATTTTAGTATATTTTTAGTAACTATTAAACAAAATTTCAATTTGGTCAAATCAATTGCTAGTCCATTATATAATCGGAGATAAAATATGAATTTCCGCTCATATTTAAGCGTCCTCATAAAATTCCCTACAACACGACATCTATTGCATTTCGTTGACATTAGAGTAAATGTCATATTTTATTTGTGCGCGCTGTCAAAATTGAATGCAAACCGTCAACATGCGTTATTTGTGTTAGAGCGGGCAAAATATCGATGATTTCACTATAACAATTTTTCGATAAGTATCGAATCTTCAATTCATTTACAAATTATCCACATCATATTTCATTTGCTTCAGTAAAATTGGATTCAAGACTCCTAATTTTATCAGATATATCTTAAATTTTAAGTCATCAACTGTAACTATCGTTTAATAAAACAATTCATCGACCATTGACACATCATAAGAACTTTCGATAACATTATCGATTATTTTTTTACCACCACTAATCTGTGTTCTCTCTTCGCAAGACTTCTCATTGTTTGTTGTAGCATCGTAATTTAAAGGAATTCATCGTGCCGGCATTTGCATTCGGAAAGCAGTTCAACAGAGTTTTCTCGTAAAAAAGGCAATTAAAGGAAAACTACTACAGTTTAATTTTTCGAAAGTAACGAAAACACAACAAATCATCCAAAATGTTCTGGGGTAAGTAGAATGTGAAAAGCGTGCCTTTCTCCCAAGATAAAAACGCGTGTTTGTTAAATATCGACCACCACGTGTTGTCCATGTTTCGTTCAATAAAAATGAATTCTCCGATTTTGTTAAATAAAATGTTCAATGCTTAATGAATCTTCATCTCATTGTGTCTTTCTATTTTAGGTCTCAATTTAAAACCAAATCGCAAATACTCGCAAACAACCGAGAAATCTTTCCACATTTCACAAGCTGCTTTAGATTCCGAATCGTCACAGGGTGGCCCCACACAAATTTGGATTAGCAGCGAAAATCAACGGTTTTTGATATGCACATTGCGCAAAGAGGTTTGCGAGCAAGTTATGCTTGACTTGAACTTTGCTGCTGGCAATGAAATCTGCTTCCAAAGTGTTGGCAGTGGCAATGTTGCCTTGTCGGGCTATGTCATCGAAGACGATATGGCTGATGACTTCATGAACGGCGAAGAAGAGGAGGAGGAAGATGAGGAAGTCGACTCTGATGAAGAGCAAGATTTACGCGAAGCCCTCAATGACTTGAAGTCCAAGAAGGCCCAAAAAGACAAGAAAGCCGATAAAGGAAAAGCCAAAGCTAAGGCTGTAGCTGCTGAAGAAGATGACGACGATGATGATGAAGATGATAGTGATTTCGATGTGGAGAATCCCGGTGACGATGATGATGATGACGCCGAGGATGATGATGAACAAGATGAAGACGACGATGATGATGAGGACGATGATGACGAAGAGGAAGATGATGAGGATGATTCCGATGATGAGGAAGTCCAACAGCCCAAGGCAAAACAACCCAAATTAGACAAACCTGAAAAACAACAAAATGGTGTTGCCAAGCAAAAGGAACAACCTCAAGCCGAGAAAAAGTCCAAGAAAGAAAAGAAGGAACAAAAGAAAGAGCAACAACAACAACAGCAGCAACAACAAAATAAACAAGAGAAACAACAAAAGACTGGCGTTGAACGTGCCCTTACTGGTGGTGTTAAAGTTGTGGACATTCGTGTTGGCAATGGACCCGAAGCCAAGCCCGGCAAACGTGCTCAAGTCTACTATGAAGGTCGTTTACTGTCTAACAACAAAGTATTCGATAGCTTGAAGACAGGTGCTGGATTCAAGTTCAGCTTGGGTCGCGGTGAAGTTATCAAGGGCTGGGATGTCGGTGTTGTTGGCATGAAAGTTGGTGGTAAACGTCGCATTACTTGTCCCCCACACATGGCCTATGGAGCACGTGGTTCTCCACCAACCATCCCACCCAACAGCACATTGGTGTTCGAAGTTGAACTTAAAGGCGTTAATTAAATATAACATAAGTAATAAGTAATTCCACTCAACATTTTTACACAGAAGTAAACCACAACCTTATCCAGTTTTTAGTTTATCCCTTTCTTATGATTTTTGTTTCCAGTACAGCTACTATGCTATATTATACATAATTATATATATTTTACGATTTTTGTAGAAATCTTTTTAATAGTATAGAAGGAAATATTTTCCAAGTCACATTTATTCGCTACATTTAAATATAGTATCATTTCAACTCTTTCGCATCTAACAAAAGAAGTTAAGTTTTTCCAATACATCGTTTGTTATACAATTTTCCTTTTCTACCAAAATAAGTCTATAAGAATTTCTCCATAATTTCTTGTTTTTGTTCTATCTATTGATGAGTTATCATATCAACTCTCTTGTTTATATAACAAAAAAGATTCTATAAATAAAACCTAGATTGAAAAATTGTACAAATTTGTTTTCTTATTTTGTTTGTTTAATAACGGCAGTTGCTTGCTACCTGATAGTATAGAACCACCAGGTTGATTTTCTAGAACATTTATAAGATATGTGCACATATGTTTACCTAAGTATGTTAAACGTATTGAAAGAATAATGGATTATCAATACGCGGCAGATGTCATCTTAAGGGTAATATGCTGCAGATGCAATGTATATGTTGCATTGACAAATGTAACATATCTTATGGATTATCCCTGTAGATCAAGAATGTTACAAATGACAAAGGTACGTTTTTGGCGCGCTATTCTAAATCTGATCATTTTTGTGTAACGAGGTAGAAAAAACTACACATAAAACACAATATTTCTTCATTCATTGTGGCATTTGTGTCCTAACATTCGACGGAAAACCACATTGACCTATAGTCTATAGGATATACCAACATAGAATTACAAAGACGATTAATGATAATCTGTCCATCTTTCCATGTATTTTTATAATCAAAGTGTAATGGACATTTATTACCCGGTTGTCATGAGATTTGTTTCAATTTCTATTAAAGCTCAAAATTCAAACAAAATCAAATCATACACAAAATCCTGCTAAAGGTGTAAATTTCTTAAATTCCAGTTACTATCCTTTTCGTGCAGTATGTATATGTTTAATTTACGAAATTGGCTTAATGTAATTCATAAGATTTAAATATAAATTCTTTTAATGTTCCCTTTCCATAAGAATCAATGTTGTGTAGTCTGATTGTATCAATACAAAATGGGCTAGAAAGCATGGTAAAAAGTCTTTGACAATGAATTGTAATAAATAATACATCCACTATGCTACGTCCGTCGGAAATCTTGTAATTGGTATATATAGGCCTAGATTCAAATACAGTTTAATTTCCACACTTCATAATACCCACTAAAATTTCAAAATGTTGAATATTTCTAGAAGATGTATTGAATAAGTATACCTATATTGTATATACCTATAATACGATATTTATACCCTATACTACACTGAGACACTGGTATTACATCTTTGTGCATATAACATTTGGTATAGACCCCACATACCCCCAAATTTTCGGTATTTCGGGATCTTTGAGCACCCACTTTTGTGGAGCATTTCAATAAAATTGTCAATAAATTAGTATTTTGAATTGTCATTGGGCTGTAAAACTTCTTACCGAAAATTGCCAATACTTAGCTACCGGTACCTCCCATGGTACAATTATTCAAGGTAGGCCACAGCAACTTCTCAGCTAGCAATTTTTGCTGAGGTTTCAGATATCAGATTTCTTTCCGAGATTTCAATTTTAAAGAAGTGTATTGAAAACGAAATAAAAAATATATGAATGTTCAGTGGAACTATAATGAAAAGGAATAACAAACAATGAACAAGGAACAAAAGAACCACGTAGAGATAGAGAAACAGCTATGGAAGAAAATGAATCCGGTTTGTCAATAAATCTTTGATAATATCAAGATTTTTTTAGAGTTTTGATGGAGTCATTCGATAAATGCCAGAATTTCGTAATTATTACGATTTTCGAATAAAACATTCCAAAGAGTATTTTCCGAACTTCAGATTAAAACACCCGAATTGCATTTAAACGCCTAAAACAGTGCATAAAATCGTAAATACCCCCAAAATGTCCTTTTTCTCCCAATTTTTTTTTACGAATTGGATAAGAATTCTTATAGAAACTCGAATGTTCCTTTCGATTTTTTCCGGCAAAACATTCTGTACGACTTCGACATTAGAATAGGAAACTTTTGCAGAGTTTGGTTCCGAATTCGGAAAAAAACTCGGAACAAATTATTAGCTGGGTTTTTATGCCAATGTCATATGCAAAGTGTGTGACTGGTATGTAATGTTTTGAAAACACACACAAAAATAAATTCTAAAATCTATTTCTTTAGAGATTAATTTTACAACACTGGTAAGAAGATTTTTCGCGTTTTTATTAAAATTTTAAATATATGTCAAATGCACAGAACGATTTGTTGCATTTGTTTTTATTTATTCCCACATTATAGTCCACAACGCAGAGGTGTATTTTTTCCTTGTTGACAAAAGAAACCTTCTATAATTATACCTTGATAACTCCTATATATCGATATTTTGGGAAGTTTGATTTATATATGTTATAGAATACAGTTAACATATTTATATATGTTATAGAATACAGTAACTATAATACAAAATTGATATAACCCCAAAATATCCTATTTAGTATAATTGTATTACGGATTTATTCTTAACCGTAATTTGTATCAGATTTGTATCAAATAGAGACTACAAAACAGAAGCTACAATTAACCCAAAAAGGACATGTACATTATAACTTTTATAGTACGTTTACATTGTACCGTATAAAGTTAACCCAGTGGGTTTTAATTGTCAATTCCATTACATATTTGTCAAATAAATCCTCATAAAGTAGGTTAACCCTGCAAAAAGTTATAATCTACAAGTCGTTTTAACCTACTTTATGAGGATTTATTTGACAAATATGTAATGGAATTGACAAATAAAAACCACTGGATTTATTTTTAACTTTCTAGTGCCCGGAAACACCAAAGATTGGAGTTAAGATGTTGTACCAGAACCTGCAAAAATTTTAAAAATTGTTCCTACTACAAACATGTTTCTTTTATGATTTCGAAAGATATAGTTAGATATAGTTGTTGTAGCAACCCTATTGATTTTACACCATGGGCTGAGGTGACAGACATTGGGTGAATAAGATTCGGAACGTAGACCCCCAGTGCTGGAACAGACCAAACGTCTATGATGAAATGAAAACATTTTCTTGACAGACTGTCGTTATATTTGAACTACAGCAACAGAAACTCAAATTTATTTTGTTATGGCAATGCTGTATATCTTGCATAACAGACGGCTGTCAAAATCAGCTGTTGACGGCACCGCATTCCTGCGATTGAATTACGAGAGAAAAATTATTTCTTAATAAAATTCCGAAAAATATAAATTAAAAATGTTAAGAAACATATGTAAACAACCTTTAAACTTTTTGAAAACAAGTGCAAGTTTACAGCAGCAAGTTCGTGTAAGTATCGGGCATTAGAACATAATATATGCGTAACGTAAAACTTTATAATCATTGTCCCTACTACTTCTTTCAGACAACATTCATACTTAAACGCAAATATGAACCTCCACTACATAAGAAGAATCAAGCACCCAAAAAACTCCGAGGTAGACATCATATCTATGAGTTGGTTGAGGATACCACCACTAAGAAACAACAGAATATTGAAGTGGTTTTGAAAACATTTGTTGAGGGTGTTGGTGCCAAAGGGGATGTCGTTTCTGTGAAATCCAATTTTGCCTACAACAAGCTATTGCTGCCCGGATTGGCCGTATACAAAACGGATGAGAACATTGCCATGTATGCTCGCAAAGACAATGAAAAAGCTGATCTTGAACACAGTTCTCCTTTTGCTCAAAGGGTAATTAAAGTTATTTTCTATATACATACATTTTAACATATTGTTTTTCTGTGCATCTAATGTAGACGGTTAATATGCTGGAAAGTCTGAATTTGTCTGTGATCATGAACAAAGATCATCCCTGGGTTATTGAACCATGGCACATTAAAGCATCCTTACGCAAGGCGGGGTACATTTGCCAAGAAGAATGCATAACAATTCCCAAGGAACCCATTGAAGGTCCCGATCTAAATAAGGAGGGTAAGATATTCTATTGCACGGTCACCATAAATAATTTGGAGAAAGCTCGATTGAAGTGTCGTATCCACCACTGGAGTACAGATCCCAGTGAACGCTTACCATATGTTTTTGAATTTTGGAAAATGCCTACTGAACCTTTGTTTGGAACAGCAGCAGAAGCCACGAAGGAAGAAGCTAAAAAATGAAATTGTTATATAGAACATTATGAATGTTAAAAATCTGTTTAAGTAATAAAATTATTAATTTTTAAACCATAAGGAATTTGGCGTTAGTTAATGTACATAACTAGACTAAGACTAGCTGCTACGGTTGAAAATGACAACATTATCAAAGATAACTTTTTCTAGTTTATAGGACGTGATTTTCGAAGTTTGTGTAAAATTTGTGGCTGCAGTTAGATTATAACCAAAAATAAATCGGCTTCGCAAACCAGTATATGAAATTACTGTATTTTAAATGGAATCTTAAAATATCGAAAACGGGACAAATGTGCTTTACGCACACCTCTCAGAACATCTTTACCCTAGATAGATTACAACAAGATTATTTTACTTGGGGAAATCAATATTTACAGAGATATTGTGCTCCAAAATTTCAAAAATATTAACGTTTTTATTAAATATATATTAACTGTAAAATAGGCCTTTTGGTACTGATTCCAACCACATTATTTCTCTTGAGGAGAAGTTCACACTTCCGGAGGTATGGGTTTAAAAATTTTTAAAAACATACTTTTTACAATCTTAACAGAAATTTATTTTAATTTCATATTTTTATAAAAATGGGCAATAAATTTAACTCAACCCTTACAGAAAAAGATAATGCGTAATGAGCATATTTTCAAAATTTTGGAACTCCATGCCGCCGGAAGTATGAAGTTATCCAAATTTTGCGAAGTACCTTCTGTTATTGTAATCAGTATCAGAATGGCTCGCTATAGCAAAATTTGTCAGAAAGGTATCCGTATGATCGTGAATGGTCTTAACTTAAATGCACTTAGTCAAGACCATTCACGATCATGATGGGCCTTCAAAATCCTAGGTTAGGTTGAAAGAGGGGTGGATGATACCAGCACATGTCCAACATGAGAAGGACATACACTTAAGCCATATGAGGCCTGTTGTGTGCTCTAGACGTGCGGAGAAAGTTCAAATCAAGAATTAGTGAAAGTGTATATTAATAAAGAAAAAACATTTGGGTTTGATTCCCTATGAATCTAGGAATTCCGTGTTTTTTGCGAACTCCTTCAGTCTTTTCCATTCACACCCCCTCAGATCGCTTAGTCCGTGAAGAGTGTCATTTCCCAAGAATTGTCTCCGAAGGCATGTAAATGCTGGGCAATGACATAGGAAATGTTGCAGCGTTTCACTGTCTTCCACACACGCTCTGCACTCGTTACTTCCTTCGCATCCAATCTTGAGTAGATGTGCCTTCAGGCCGAGGTGTCCCGTCAGAACACCCGTCAGTCGGCTTATTTCTTTTTTGTTTAGCGTTAGGATTTGCTTAGTTTTGTCTTTACTTGGGTCGCCCCATAAGATTTTGGTGATTTTTCCTGTCCCCTCATTATCCCAAAGGGCTTTATGGGTTTCATGTGCCCATTCCCTCATTTCTTGGCGGGTTTCGCTAATGGGTTTGGCGGTATACACTTCTATTGTGGGTAGTGCAATGGCACTCCTGGCTAGTTGATTCGCTATCTCGTTGCCTATGATTCCTTGGTGACCCGGTACCCATATAATTCGTACAGATACTTGTTGTGAGAAATCATTTATGGTATTTATACATTCCAGTACAGTTTTGGATTTAACTGTTCTGGAAGATATTGCCTTTATAGCTTGCTTGCTGTCCGTAATAATATTTATTGTATTTTGCCTATGTTTTGAAATTACACAGTTAAGATACTCGGTTATGGCTTGAACATCCGCCTGAAAGATCATGCTGTGATCTGTAAGACGAATAGAAATTTCGGTACCCGGTTCTTCGATGAAAAGTCCCAGTCCAGTTTTTCCTCCTAGTCGAGAGCCATCTGTGTAGCAACAGGCGACCAGGCGGCATCTGAACTAGTGTTCCGCTATTCCATTGTTCTCTATCTGGTATTATAGTTTCGCACCGTGTCACTACTCTCGTTTCGGGTATACGGTCTGAATCAAAGATATTGAATGTCGACTCATTAGTTGCCTTTAAAAAGTTTTTGTGCGGTGTGTTGTGTCCGGTGTCTATCCACTCGTCCACTGCTTTAAGTCTTAAAGCTGCAACCGCCGCTTCATATTTTATTTGGATGTCTATTGGATGTATATATAATATTGTGTCCAAAGCCCTAGTTGGTGTTGTACGCATTGCTCCACATATTCCTAGGCAACATGTTCTTTGAACTTTCTGCAACGTTTTTACTTTACATTTTTTATCCATTGCTGTCACCAGACAACAGACGCGTACGTTAGAATTGGTCTAATAACGCTCTTATATATCCAGTGTATCATCTTTGGATTGAAACCCCATTTAAAGCCTACGGCTCTTCTGCAGAAACACCAGCATCTTTGGGCCTTTTCAGCCCTTTGCTGTATGTGGTCTTTCCATTTAAGTTTATTGTCTAGAATTACTCCCAGATACTTAACTTTGTTTGATATGGCTATCGTTTTGTTTTGGAAGATGGGCTCTTCGTACTGACCTATTTTTGTCTTTCTAGTGAAAAGACATATCTCCGTTTTTTAGCACCGTTTCGGCTTTCCTTTGGGTTCTTTCACCTAAGAAGTATCATAACGTCATCTGCATAACAGACTGGTTCAAATCCTTCGTCGGTTAAGTTCCTTAAGAGTCCAAAATCCCTCCCTGTGGTGTTCCCTGACCTACTTTGTCTCTGGTTCTTATATCATGTATGCTACAGCTTATCCATCTATTCCTTAGTATATAGTTAAACCAGTCTATGATTACCCGGTCCACTTGGAAGGTATCTAAGGATTGGATAAGAGTATTAGTGTTGACATTGTTGAAGGCTCCTTCAATGTCCCTCATGTAAAGCGGTTTCCACTGATCTCCCCTTTACATACGCATGTTGTTTGTATTTCAGCGTATCATTGGGTATACTGCTCTTTATCATGGTGTCGATTGTACGTTCCATGGTTTTGAGTAGGAAAGAAGTTAGGCTTATTGGCCGATATGATTTTGGTGTGGCGTAATTTGCCTTGCCAGGCTTGGCTATGAAGACTAGCCTTGCCAGGCTTGGGCAGGAAGCTGGTGTGTAAGTAAGCAGGCATTTAAGGGGTGCGGCTAGATGTGGTGATAAAAATACCGCCTCTTTTTGTAATACCGCGGGGAAGACGTTATCTGGTCCTGCGGCTTGGTGAGAAGCTTTTAAGGGCGCGTAACACCATTGGCTTGTCATTAATTGGTTCCTCTGATCTTTCTTCCCTATCTGTCATGACATCGTCCATTGTCGATGGGAATTGAGCATTCATTAGGAACCTTAGGGTTTCCTCGATTGTTTATATCCTATTACCCTCGCCGCCTACCATAGTTTCGGGTCTTGGATAGAAATTTCTTGATTTTTGAAACGTCGTTGACGCTATCTACCTGTTCGTATAACAGCTTTCAGGAGTTGCGTTTGGCGGTTCTTGTTAATTTACAGTATTCTTTCCGTTTATCGTAGATGTCCCAGAATACTGCGGATTTTTTTCGGCGTGCTCTGTTGTAAAGCCTTCGGGCCACTTTTCCTTTGTTCCGAACCTCCCCTGTCATCCAGTGTTTTTCAAAGGCAGATCTCCTTTCTCGAAGAGGACAACTTTCTTCGAAAGACTTTACAATTACGTTAATTTGTTTACGTTCCTGTCTATGTCATTCGTGTGTAGGCATTCATAATTTGGTTGCCCTAAAACCCTCCTTGACTAGTCTCCCGAATTTTATCCAGTTAGTTTTGGACTTGTTACGGAAGTGTGTGGGTTTCGGCGATGGCCGTAGGATTTTGAACATAATATATTTGTGGTCAGAAAAGGAGTACTCTTCTGAGACTCTCCCCTCCTGTACCTCATACCTCTCTAATTCTGTTAACAAACGTAGGTTTATTGCCTATGTTAAGAGTTATCAGATCGTTAATATTTAAATAATCTAAAAGGGCCTGTCCCCTTTTGTTAGTATTTGTACTGCACCACACAATATGTTTGTGAGTTAGCATCACTACCAATTAGTACTTCGTTACCTGTTTCCTGTGCTTTCTTCACCAGTCGCTGCAGCTCCGCCGTTGGTGGCGGTATCGGCGAGTCGAACGGGAGGTACACTAAGGCCAGGTAAATGTTACCACTCCCCTGTTTCAGTACAGTGGCATCCGAAGTTAACAACTCTGGGGAGAAGAGAAAGCATAAATTTTTATGATATATTATACAGGTTCTCGGACGAGACCCCGTATTTGCATAGAAGAGTTGGTAATTTATATGGCTTAATCCAGAGACCTTTTTTTAATCGCTGCCCCAACCTCTGACGAAGACTGTAGCCTTTTGTGGTTGAGGAATGTCTTTTTTCCTCACCAGCTTGAGCTTCATTGTTCCATCTATTGGTCCAATGCTTGTCACTATCTTTCTCAGGGCTTCTATGCTTTTTGGACTTCCAAATTTCAGCATTAGATAGTCCCCTTTGAAATCGCAGCTATTTATTTCTATAGAGTCCCCTCCTGCAGTAGGTACTCCATAATCTTGGTGTTGACCACATTTAATACTTCTTTATGGGTCTCCTTCTTTAGCTTACCGGACGCGCTATTTCCGTCGATCACTGCATAGCAGAGATCGCCTCTATAGCGCTTCCTGGCAACCTTGGCATAAGACGGCGGCTCCTTACCATCTGTTGCTGTCATCTTCCTCTTTCCCAACTTCCGGTTGGTCATTTTGGGATTCCCGGTCTTTGCGGAAGATTCCGACTCAGCACTCGTCTTCCTGATATCAGAGTCAACCTCGTCTGCTCTCGTCAATGGATTCTCGTGACTCCTTTGACGTTGGTTTGGCAGAAGAAGCCACACGTGCATAGTTGTTTTTTTTTTATTCACCTCAAGCTGCCCTACCTTGTATTATTGTACCATGGGTCTATGTCAAAACATTTACATAGTATATTAAAATGAGCAACAAAGAAGTACTTTGCACATCAAAGGCACACAATGCTAAATTATAGAAAATGGGATTGGCCATGGCCTGGAAGTATATATTCCAAATGTTTTTCAAAACCTAGTGGTTTCCTAGCAAAGTTTTAAATCAACGAAATAGGAAATTTATACCCATCTTTAAACCAAATCAATAATGTGTAATTTGTTACTACGAAAACAAATTTGTTGATATGGAAGAAATCGTCAAAACATTTATCTAGTATAATAAAATGAGCAACAAAGAAGTACTTTGCACATCAAAGGCACACAATGCTAAATTATAGAAAAAGGGATTGGCCATGGCCTGGAAGTATATATTCCAAATGTTTTTCAAAACCTAGTGGTTTCCTAGCAAAGTTTTAAATCAACGAAATAGGAAATTTATACCCATCTTTAAACCAAATCAATAATGTGTAATTTGTTACTACGAAAACAAATTTGTTGATATGGAAGAAATCGTAAAAATTAATAGTTACTTGTAGTACCGGAACAGACCTATTTTTATAATATTTAACTATGGTATATAGATGGCTAGTTAAATTGCCGGACCCTGACACGTAAAGTCCAACACCTCAGATCTATTTTATAATCATTGCAATCTTATTGGTGAACCTAATTGTTTTGCCTTTGCATTTATCGAACTATCAGAGAAAAATTTTGTTGGAAGAGACCTCCTTAAAAATATATTATCGACTCATATAAAAAGAGTTACTTCCATGATATAAGGAAAGTCCAAGGTTTATTAAAAAGTGTTTTCAAAACATTTTTTTCTTTCAATAAAAATTATTTACAGCTCAAAATGCAAAACGAAATATTCTTAGAACACTAGAAATGCACCAACCAATCAACATTAACATGAGTATTATGATTCAACATTTTGTATAATCCAGTCCATAAAATTGCCAACTCTTGTGTATACTCCCGGCCAGCCTTCCAAACCACAGGGCGTGGGTCCAAACGATACAACACCGGCCAAGAAATAATATGCTCGAACCCTATAAAAGCCAAAAATATGTAAGGAATTGAATTTAATTAAATCTCTCAAATATTCTTACCTATTTGTAGTATCTAAACTTATCAGAGGTCCACCGGAATCACCACGACATGAATCAATACCCTCTTGGCCACCAGCACATATTTGTGAATCCTCAAGAATGATATTTTGACGCATATATATCGAACGGCATTCATTGATACTTTGTCCCGTCACCGAGGCCTTCAACTTAAGATCCGACACAGACATATTTTCCGTTTTACCCCAACCGGCCACATCCATTACAATACCATCAAATGTTGCCGATCTAAGGCTAGAACTAGCAGGCAAACATATGGGACTAATAAAATCTGTAAAGGCAATGTTACGTTCCAAACGCAGCAGTGCAATGTCATTAGCTTGATTTCGAGAATTTGGATTATACAGTGGATGTGGTATGGCACGTTCAACTCGTACATCAATATATTCGGGTGCACAATCTTTTTCGCCGCGTATATCTATTTCACAATCTGGATTTGTTTTAAGATTCCATTCTCCGAGACGAACAGCGGTCAGACGCCAATGGGAGGGTATGGATTTGCCATTGACACAGTGTGAGGCGGTAAGAACGTAACGGCTATTGATGAGCGAGCCACCACAATGGTGACCTTTACCACTGTTACCTAAAAAGTGGAAATAATTTTTGAATTCCTATAGCTCCTATATGGAAAAATAATTGTTTATCTTACCCTTTGTATATTCAATCAATGCCATCCAGGGAAATTCATCGATTTTTGTCCTATTACCACCATAAATACGATTCGACAAAACATTACCACACTGGCCGGGTTGTGGCAATTTATTGTTGACATATGCCGGTGCCGGAGCTACGGGTGCAGATGACATTGGTTGAATCGTGCGGTAACGATCAGGACAGCAAATCTACCACAAAACAAGAAAACGAATGCATCTTGATTAACAAATTTCAGTGCAAAAAAAAAAACTAAAAGTTTTATTAGACCTACCAAAACTTTACCATTCTGATAACCACACTGACTGCGACTTAAATATAGACGATCGGCATCTCTCAATGGTGGTGTTATCAATACATTGTACAGATATTTACAGTCTTCCAATATAATGCACAGTGCTCTTTCACGATTCGGTGTTACGCAGCGTCCAAAATTTGGCACGTCAACATGACCATTGGGAAAGTGAATTTCTGTACAAAAAAAGTAATAAGGAGAGTTGATGACAAATAAGCAAATACAATTTCGTGTACTTTAAATTGATATAGACTATTTTGACTATTTTATGCGGTCTACGACTAATATTTCCACGTGTTACGAGTGGATTGATACATTTAATTTACACTCCCAATTATTTCATATTATCTAGTATTTAAATGTACTCTATACTCCGCCCTTATAATATATATTATGATAGACAATAGATATTAATAATTTAGTTTTTCTATTTATTTTTTTTTTTTGGTAAGGTATTTATGTTTTTGTTAGGTATTTACCAGTTTTACATTTAAAGCCCAATATTAAGATTATGATTTTGCATCAAATATTTTAATATTATTAGAAAACGTTGACCTAACTTCGTTTATTTGAATAATCTTAGATTTTAGAATGAGGTCATGCGTATTTCACAACAAATTAGAATTTATAAGAAATACAACAAATAATTTAATCAAATTCAGAAGCATAACACTGAAACTGGTTCGTTTATCATCACCTGTTTTTTTAATTCTTTATTATAATTTAATTTTAAAGATATCTATGAAGAAATACTAATGTATAGAAATTCTAGATAAAATAAAATTGAATCAACTATTGTGTAAAAAATCGGAAGAAACTAAATGAAAAAAACACATTTGTCAATTCATATTTTTTTCATTCCATATTTTTAGATTCGCTAAATTATTGTAGTAAAATTCCATTCTCGCAAATCAATGTCGTTTATTGTTATCTTCTGAAATATAAATATTATATTATGTTTATGCATCTATAGAAATATATATTTCCCTATTTTGATAATGGTATCATATTAATAATTTATCGATACATAACACTTTCGGAACTAGGATTATTCATATGTATTTATGGTGAATGATAATGACATTTTTTGACGAACAAAGCCATTTCAATTTACACCTTATTATGAATTTTATTCTTTGCTAAACCACCATTTGTGGTCTATATACAGTGTGATATTGATCAACATACCCCTCTATCCATGATCATTTAGATATTTCTTTTCCTTAAAAACCTGTTCTGTTTACTCAAACAACAGATGCCATTATAAATTGATATTTCCTCATGTAAAAATATACTTGTTTTCTTCCTCGAAGTCTTTCGAAGTCAAATGTGTCCTTTAAGTGAATTTATAACTTTTGAGTTTTTATTTCGAATTTTTGTTTATTTTTATATTTGTTGATCTCTGGTTATTCTAGCAATTACTGGACCTTTCACATCTATACAAAGGCTGACTTTCCCAAGTTTAGGTTTATAGAACAAATTTAAATAAATTTTATATTTTTTAATTTGTTTTCTTGTGAAAATTGTTAATCATTTTTCATTGTTTACACGAAGTTGTTTTTGTATATTTTTTTAATATTAAAAAAAAAATAATAAAATTAACTGTGTCTTGTTACTTTCCAGTAAAATTTACTTAGTAAGTTCTATTCCAGAGATTAAGTCCTTTTATACACTTTTACCGTAATGCTAAAAAAAGTAAACACTCAACATCCAGTAATATTTTGCAAACTATTCCGCAATTCCAATTAAAATGCTTAAAATTTAATGTTTTAAAATTATTAAAGAATAAAGTTCTTAAAATTATTCCGTTGATTGTCTCGACGTCATTCTACTCGTAGTTCATATATGGCCATTGATTTCTATAAAAATTACAGAAAATGGAAGAAATTTCGTAAGTAATGCAAATTAGAAATTAAGTTTTACATCTTTTTATGCAAGTTCCACAAAGAGGGCAGTGTATTGGTGCAGGAAGCTTAAACGTTCCCGGGGAACATGCCAAATCATTTTTTCTTTTATTTTTAATATAAAATCCAATTTTATGTTGTGTTCGTCCTTTGTTTGTTTATTTTGGCGGAAATAAAAATGTTTTCTTGAATCTGCTGTTTAATTCTGCCAATGAAATAGCCGATGGGAGGTTTCACAGATCTCTTAATCGGAAGATTGAACGACTGTGAGCCTTTAAGGCTGCCCTTATCGACATATATAGTCACCGGTCCCGTAATGTCGGCATTAAGCGATTTTACTATCTTGAAAAACGCTACAGAGATTGTTGAGTTTATAAGAGTTATGCGCCACTACATTCCTCCATCTTTGACCCGTCTGTAAAGAATGGCAGACCTGGCAGAGGTAAGGAGCCACTAGTCCAGGAATCCCTACTGGGAATCTTGACTTTCATGTCATTGATGTCCCTTTGACAGGAAACATAGTAGCTAATAAACTGACTCATTGAAGGGGTCTTTTCGGTCCCCTTTTCCAGAAGTGATTGAAAACTCATTCCAAACGGGGTTAAAGCTGCTCAGAATATTCTGAAATATTTATTTTTTTATATATTTAATTCATTTCTGTAATACAAGCCACCAAGGCCAAAACATTACATAGCTCATAACTCATCCGAGTAAAATCAATATGAATAAAAAAAATAATAATAATATATAATATAAGAATAATAATAATAATTATATAATAATTTAAGAATAATATATTAATCTATATATAAGTCCATGTTAGCAGTATAATTACACAGAATTTATGATATCCGCTCTATGTAGCAAAGAAATCCAGAAGTTTCAATTTAAATACATTATAAGAATGAGAGAAAATTCGCAACTCCAATGGTAAGCAATTCCAGGTACGTGCTATTCGACCCCACTGCGCCTTTAATAACTTCAAGTCCATAGTTTACCTGCGACATTAGTAAAGCATGAGCTACTCTATACCTTACATGGAAGGTATGATATAAGGTAGAAGCATAAATTCTACGTAATGAAGATAAAATCTTACCCGATAATGCATCAATGTGGTGACTGAAAGAAAGCTCACTATCAATGATAACGCCGAGACAATTTATCCTGTCCAAAAACCGAATGCTGTTATGTTGTATAAATACATCAAACTCAGGGAATACACGATTAGAGGGACGAAATAGAACAGCCTTACTCTTAGACATATTAATGCTTAGTGAATATTTTGAAGACAGTTGTTTATGCTGGCTTCACATATTTGGTGTAAAGTAGGATAACCACTAAAAAGTAAAAATATATCGTCTGCAAACAAATAGGTTTTACATTCATCAAGATTTGTGTGCATAGGCAGATCATTTACATAGAGTATGAATAGTAGTGGCCCTAAAACAGATCCTTGTGGAACCCCCGATAAAAGGGACAAAGAATCGGATATAATTACATTATAAATAACAAATTGGGACCTTCCACTCAGATAAGAGTAAATAAGTCTGCATGCAGAATCACAAAAACCAAAATCTTCCCTTAATTTAGCTTTTAATCGGTTATGATTAATTGAATTAAATGCTTTGGATAAGTCCAGGGAAATAAGAATGCTAAGCTTGCCAACATTAACATTCTCCCTAATTTTATCCGTCACGCTTAGAAACAAATGCGTTGTAATGTATCCCGACCTAAATGCAGATTTTATTGGCGCAGTGACGAATTATTTGCAATACAGTTAACGAGATATGTAATAATAGTTGACACACAAGGAAAAATAGTTTTAATAAAAGACTGGTTGTCAGAGTTCAATAAGTTATCACTATCTACAATCCCAGAAGAATTTGAATCACCAACAAAAAAAGAATTTAAAACATTCGGATCAAATTCCATTTCAGTAGTATCTCCACTAGCACACCCAGAACTCTTTAACACCATTAAATAATTTAGAAAAATATTTTCTAAGACACTTCCTCATAACATTCTTTGCCTTATTATGATTTATACTCAAAGGATAGAACTGCAAATATCAATGAATGATCGGAGATTGTGGGACTCTGGACTTGATCAGAGAATTTTAAGGATAAAAAATCGCTAACAAGAATAAAATCTTAGAGATGTTGTTCTTCTTCTCAAGTCCAAATGCGTTGGTTTCGAATTATACACAATAGAGAAATTGAAACGAACAAAATGCACGAAAGTAGTCAGATCTAGAAACATTGAATAGATTACAATTGAAGTCACCAACGGAAACGATATTAGGTTGGTGTGAGAAGAAATCACGGTGATAATATTCAAAATCATCTATGTTGCCTGTGGGCAGGTAACCAACTCCGAAATATATTTTCGCATTGTTAAGTTCTAATTGGATAAAAGATTCAGAAGAAGTAACAGAAACCACAGAACTACGTTTAAAAAGAAGTCCATTCGAAATAAAAATAGCAACACCACCTCCTCTATTAGAAATCGCACAATCATTGCGAACCAGTTTGTAGCCTGGAATAGATACAGTAGAATCAGGAATTTCAGCTGAAAGCCATGTTTCAGAAACATCAAATATATCTAAAACATTATAATTTATAATACTCCTAATTTCATCCATTTGAAATGGTGGTTTTAAACTTCTACAGTTCCAGTGACCAATTTTCAATAGGTTCTGGAAAGGAAGAACAACTGATTCGATGTATGTACTACTGCTAACTAAGGGACCTAAGTTATTATTAGAAGACATCAAATTTATTATAAAAGGAATTAATGGGGGGCAAAAGATATATATTTATAACATGGTATTCATTATAAATTCATTCAAAAACATTTTATCTTAAAATAATACTGAATACTGTTTCTACAGAAATGTTCGCCATGATTTTTTATTAAAAGTCTCAGAATAGGCTAAAACTCAATAATCGGCCAAAACGTCAAAAATCGTAAAAGAACAAAAAATCATTTTAGGGTTAAAATCGTATTTACCAATTTTCCCCACAAGATGTTTTTTTAGAAGGATGGTATATATATTCTCCATCAATTTTTAGCATAAGTCACTGAACAAGAGAAACCTGTATATATAATGTATATACCGAATGTGTATTCATACATTTTGTACAAAAAATTCAAAATGTTCTTGTAGTTTTTTTCAAAGACATTTCCCAGTAGTTTTTTCGACTAAGCGCTTAAGGTAACATGAAACTTAATTTTAGGTATACTATGTCAAAGAATTAAATATTCTACGTCAAATTCCACTGCAAGTCCCAAAACAAACTATATATTTATATTCAGTAATTTTTAAGAAATTTACATTATAAAATTAAATGATGTCAGCAACAAAATTGTTGTTATTATATATATATATAATTTATATATATATATATATATATAATTTATATATATATATAATTTTATACAGTACATTTTTAGTATGTTTTATTCATCGAATGAGTCCTTTTTTGTAAAACTGACGACATGCCATCTCAAAAATAACCTGCAATAAATTTTAGAGTTATCAGCAAATTATACATCGCGACATAACTCAAAAACATGACCTATAGCGAATTTGTCCTTTTAAATTTCTTAATACACTTGCCAAGCGTATTCATCCCCGTAGGAAATTTTCCATTTTGTCGGATAATGTTATGGATTTATAGACATAACGTGGGAACCAAGTATCAAAGTCCTTAAAGGTTCTTCGGTTAGTACAGAATAATCATAAATTTCGTTAAGCAATCCGTCTAATTTGTGAAAAGATACATTAAAAAACCATAATCCATGCTATCCAAGTTTATACAAATACGGTATTTAATTTTACGTTTGTATATGATTCCACAGTAGTTTTATGATGAAAAATATTTTTATTAAAAATGCATTCATTTCTAAATTGCATGCTAGATTTTGAAGTAAAAATTGTTGGTTTTATTTGGGTTAAATGATGTACGAATAAACTACAATACATCATAACATTTACATACGTCACAGTTACTAAGCAAATAATTAAAAAATATTGCATTATATTGTGGTTTCCATTGCTTCTCTGCCATATAGTATTTGTCTTTCGTGAGAAATAATCTCATTTCATTTATATATGTAAGTATGAATAAAAATAATTATTATCACCAGCATACGGAGACATATTGAACGTATTTTTGCAAATTTAAGCTTGTACTAATAAGTATTTGAGAATATATCAGAGCCTTCCACACTAATTCATGCAGTTTTGATGAAACCTCTAAGCTAGCCCCTACGAATGGTACAACATTTTTCGATATTTGGTTTAGGCGCATATTTAATTTGAAGACATTTCCAGTTTTTAGTTGGAACGTAATCTCTTACAAATCATCTGAGTATCTGAGTCCAAAAATATTAGTATAATTCCACATTTAAACATACTTTCTTCCGAGACTAAATATTTTACATTTACAATTAGAATGGAGAACGATGCTAGTTTACCATTCTAATTAGTTATCGAACAGAACAAAACTAGTGATTCATTTCATATAATTACGAATGAAGTAAACCAAATCGCGGATTTATTCATCTGCCTCCGTAGAATATGTATGCACATTTATATGCTTCTGAAATATATGACACTATTAACCTTTGCGATATCTTATATTCACACACAAGTACCGTTAATAATTAATGTTGGAATTTGAAGAAGATTTTGTACGAAAATTCCATAACAACATTCTCTATAGACGATTGCGAAAATAAGATTTAGCTTTGCGAAATACAAATGACTGAAGACGAAACAAGTTTTTCAGATTTGCTTTTTTAAACAACAACTTAAGTGACATGCAGAAATATTTGTCATGAAATGGCAATATAATTTAGTATACAAAAAAGAAGAAGAACAGCAAGAAGTTATATTTATTTTTAATATGCAAGGTGACAGTTATTATATTATGCAGGGGTGACTATATCAATAGGTTATTTTTCGTAAACAAATGGATTAAACGATCTCAACCAATTTGTGCCGTATACAAGGTCGGGATATTTAAGATATTAAAATTGAAGATGAAAACTTTTAAAAATTGTTTTTTGTTTTTATCAATTTAATTTTAATTGGGTTCAATTGAAACTATAACGGTATTAATGACAAATACCGGAAATCCTCCCCGCGGTGTCACCTGGGGTAGCTACTTTGAACACCCGTTGGGTTGAGGCGTCCGGATAGTTGCCCACACTCGCAAAACCCCTGATGATATGAAAAAGCAACAAGATAACCAACCCCCTCAAATGATGTCAACCCCTGCAATCGTATAAAAAACCACAATCTGCGAATCTGCATTTGAATGTGCTCACGTTGAACAGAACAGACGCAGTTTTCGCTTTGGTGAATCTACTCAAGAATTACAAAGCCTATGGATGGAAAGAGACAGGCGTACTGACATTGATATTCCTCCTAGGATGGTTTGTATTGCAAATTGGGTATATCGGTATAGACCCCATATAACGAAACCCCCAATTATTAGGTATTAAGGGAATTTTTGACCCGATTTTCACCCGAATTGGCTGCTACGTTTGGTTCTCATTGGGTATCAAATCTTACTATCGAAAATGATCTATATTGGTCCACGTTTTAGGGTAGCTCCCATTATTCGGTATTTTGGAGGTTTTAAACACACTTTTCAAAAAAATCAGCTGTAATTTGAAATTTTGGATTCACTGTGGCTATCAGATTTGCCTACGAAAAATTATCAACATTAGCTATTGTTACTGGTACCCCCAATATTCGGTATTTTGGGGAGCTTGGACACTTGTTTCAATCAAATTAGCATTAATTTTATATTTTTTATACCCTTCACCACACTGTGGTACAGGGTATTATGTCTTTCTGCATATGTTTGTAACAGGCAAAAGGAAACGAGATGGACACATGGTTCCTTTTTAGAATATGCATAGAATCACTTTTTAAGTCAATTTATGCATGTCCGTCCGTCCGTCTGTCTGTCTGTCCATGTATTTTTGTGAACAAGGTACAGGTCGCATTTATGATCCGATTTGGATGAAACTTGGCATATGTCACTTATTTGGTCCAAGGACGAACCCTATTGAAATTGGGAAAAATCGGTCCAGATTTAGATATTGCTCCCATATATATTTTCGTTCGATTTAATGTAAATGACGTACCAATGTCATATTTATATAGTTCGATTTGCACGAAATTTGGCTTAGCGTAATGAATTATGCCTAGAATGATGTTTGTTAAGTTTCCTGAAAATCGGTTCAG